ATGTGGGACTTTGCCGCGTTACCCCAACACGACCCGATCACGGGCGCCAAGCGCACGGACTCGGAGGACCGACGTTTTAAGAACGGACTCAGCGTGATGAGCAACGCCTACGCCAGCCCACGCGTGCTAGTGCTGCAGCAAAAAAGGATTCTGCCAGAGCTGGAGATGGAGCTAAGAACATTTGGCGGCAATCCGCCTGTTGACCGCCTCGATCTCATCCCGTACGAAGGGGATCACTGCCGCTCAGGCTGGTGCACTTCCGAGAGTGCATGCGCACAATTGATGACCACCGGTGGCGGTCACTCGTACGAACTCGGTGTGGGGAAGGTCCCCGTGGCTCCCAGGCGGCTGCCGACTGTGCCGGAGATGGACGCGCTCTTCAACCACAGCTCGACCCGCTTCATCGGCAATGCCGATCGCAGCGAAGTGAGCAAGGGCTACCTAGAGTTGCGCGCGAAGCTCGAGGCGTACGATGAGGAGCACACGCCAGCGATAGTGCGGTTTGCCGACACGCTAATGACCGGGTACGCGCATGGTGACGATGGGCTCTTGCGAGTGATCTTCTACCTGTCCATGCTCGTTCCTACAAGCTGGCCCATCCTCCTAGCCACCTTGATCGTGAACCACGAAGCGCCGCTGGTGCTGCTCCGGAGCACTTGGGTTGCCGCGCGTGTGGTCCGCGTCAACACCCTGCTTTGTCTTCCGCTCCTCCTAACGTTCTTAGCGATCCTCAGCTTCGTTGAGTGGTGCATAATACCCTGCGTTGGTGCAATGACCGCTAGCACCCAATTGGCTTTCGCCGCTATCTCCATCGCGGTGGCCACCCTTCCCAGCCGTGTCGTGCGTGGACACCTCGCCGTCATTTTTGGCTACAGCTCGCTTGACAGCCTCGAGTACGCCACCTTCCGCTGCAGCCTCATCAAGCCGCCATTTCGTAAGCGGGCGTCAGCCGAAGCTTCCACAGACGCCGAGGTGTGAGCTGAGTGAGATGCCCTCTGTGACCCTGTCCATCGAGCTGCGACCATCTCCAGGATGATAAGATACAAAAGTGAACCCATTATTCATCTCCCGTCTCGAGCGCGCCCACGAATGCTTCAAGGCATGCGCAATAGGCAAGTTGAACGGGGCATATCGTTACTTGAAAGATCAAAGCAGCTATAAAGCACGGAAGCGAAACAAACCATTACACTTCATCACGGCCTACCACGCATTTTCAACAATCAAGGACAGTCGCCTTCTTCTGCCACCTTCAAGTGAGCGGGTCATCCGCCCAAAACCTGCGAGACCCGGCGTATATAGGGTGTGAACAGGTGGTGTGAACAGCGTCTCCTCCCCCCCACGGCGCAAGGTCGGTCGGGTCGGTCGGGTCGGTCGGGTCGGTCGGGTCCGATGCTCGGTCGGGTCGGTCGGGTCGGTCGGGTCCGATGCTCGGTCGGTCGGTCGGGTCCGATGCTCGGTCGGGTAGCACACCCCTTCGCACCACCAACAGAGCGCACGATACTGCGCGCGGCGCGGCCTTGTGCTTGGCGACGGCGCGGCTCTTGGGCTGGAAGGACATAACCCCTCGGTCGTCATCAGCTTGTGCACGCCAGCGATGCCCTCCTGGTACTGCAGCGCCTCCTCCAGCGTGGAGCGAGCCGGCATGCGGCGGCCCATGCCGTCGCGGTACGGATCGAGCTCCGCCTTGGCGGTCGCCTCGGGCACGCCCAGCAGCACGAGCGACTCGCCGAGCTGGTTCAGGAGCGAGTAGTAGACGTCGTCGCTCGAGACGCACACGTTCTTGTGCTCGACGGTGTTGCGGACGGTGCGAAAGGAGCCCTTGCCGTCGATGGCCGCCTTCCGCTGCGCCGCGTCGAAGGCGCTGCAGTTCTGCACGCACGCGCACAGCGCGGTCAGGTCCCAGTGGTCGACGCCGTCGAGCACCGTGTGTGGAAAGTTGATGAAGAGCGCCGCCGTGCGCTCCCAGCGAGGCATGCTGCGGTACTCGTCGCGCTCCTTGCGGCCGGTGGGCACGTTCTTGGAGATGAAGAGCGTGCCGCTCTCGTGCACGTACTCGTGGAGGAGGACGGCGTAGCGCCGGAAGGCCGCCGCGTCCTCCGGGTCCGGGTCTGTGTCGCGAAGCCACTCTGCGCTCATTTTGGCGTCGAGCTCCGCCTGGACGCGCTGCATGACCTGCTTCACGATCACGCGGAGCAGTGGAGCGACGACCTTCTCCGCCGCCTCGCTCACCTGCCGCATCACGTCCTCCGCCCGCTGCGCCTGCTTCTCGTTCCGAAGCAGCCTCGCCGCGCGAGACGCCGTCGCCGCGGAGAGCCGGAGCGCCTCGTCCTCCGCCGCCGACTGCAGAACAAGCCCCTCCTCCGACGCTGCCTCCGCTTGCTCCGCCGCTCCCTGGTCGACAGCGGCGTGATCCCGAGCGGTGCCGTCTCGCCCTCCTTGGCCGGCATGCATCCGCTCCATCTGCACGGGTGTCGCAACCGGAGCAAGGGTGACGAAAGCCTCTGGCTCCCAGCTCGCCTTCGCCTCAGACTTGGCTGGCACGAGTAGTGCCATGGACCCAGCACCCGTCCTAGATCCGAGTCTAGATCTAGGTCTAGGTCTAGGTCTAGGTCTAGGTCTAGGTCTAGGTCTAGGTCTAGGTCTAGGTCTAGGTCTAGGTCTGGGCCTGGGTCGGACGGGTGTCGGACGGGTGTCGGACGTCGGGCCCGGATCGAGGGTGGATGGAGGTAGGACGGAGGTGGACGGATGGGAGGGGGTCCGTCCACCTGCGTTTTCCCGTGGAAGGAGCTTGTTCACACCTCTTCCACGGGGAAAAATGACCCTTTTCTACAGGGGTGGACGGTGGAGGTGGATGGTCGCTCAAAAACTTTTTTTTCAACTTCTCCCTACCTCAGATTTTTCTAAGTACTTTTATACTGAATTTTTCTAAGTACTGTGGACAAGGTGGATAAATACTCTTGCAACAGAGCGATGGCTATGTCGTAGCCGGGCGGCTGTCCGTACTGCGTGTAGTAGGCGCCCTTTATCGTCGCGACTGCTGCGCTGAGTGTGTGGGCATTTGGCTTGCGCATACTGCTTCGAACATAGTCGAGCGCGGCAGCGACGTTGTGAGCGTGCAACATGGCAACTGCGTTCTGGTTGCGGGTCGGCATCTTTTCTATAACGAGGAAAAAAAAACGAGGACACCGCCCCGCCTTGACCGGCTCAGCGAGGAAAAAAAACGAGGCCTAGGACGTAAGCTCAGCGGCTCAGCGGCTCAGCGGCTCAGCCCGCGACAGATTTCTTTTCTTTTCTTCGTGCTCGGCGTGCGGCGGCGCTCTGGTGGTGACGTGAGCTGAGCGACCGAGCGGGAAGCGAGCGACTGTGCGGGCACGCGGCACTCCGCCCTTGCCTCCCCCCCCCCTCCGCCCCCACCACTCGCCACCGACACCGGCGCTCCCGGTCCCACACGCCCAGCGTCCTGAGCGAGCGAGCGAGCGCTGCGCACAGGATGTCGCCACGCCGAGGGGCAGCTCGACCGCGAGGAGCGGACAAGTCGCCTTTGCTCCGGCCAGGGCCGTACACGTGGCAGCGGACGTTGTCTCCACTTGCCGCCGCTCGTGCCGGCGACTTGGGAGCACGCGCCGCCGCACAGCGCAACGCTGACCCCCTCGCCGCTGTGGCCACCCCTCGCCGGTCTCCTAGGATCTCTGCTGCGACCCCCGAGAGACAGACGGGGGGGCAGGGGGGGGAATGGGCGACGCAGGCCCCCGCGAGCGCGATCTCCCAGCACAGCGAGATCGAGGACGAGGAGCAGGAGGGCGAGGATGCGGAAGCGTCGGGGGAGGATGAGGAGGAGGATGGGGAGGAGGAGGAGGAGGAGGAGGAGGAGGAGGAGGAGGAGGAGGCACTGGCGGAGGAGGATGGGGGGAGGCAGCCAAGCATGCAGGACTTGTTCGAGGCGGAGCTGGAGGAAGCGCGGCAGGAGATCACAGCCCTCAAGAACAAGGTGGCGTCTCTCGAGGCGAGCCTCTCGGCCGTGCTGGGACGTGTCGCAGCCCTCGAGAACGGCGATGCGGAGGAGGCGCAGGCGCAAGATTCCGATATGGAGGAGGCTGCCCCGGCCCCGGCTGCTGCCCCGGCCCCGGCTGCAGCGGGCCCGCTCGTTCCGCAGATGCCGGAAAACGCCCCGGCCCTGGCTGCAGCAGGCCCGCTCTCGCCGCAGACGCCGCCAGATCTCGACCTCACGGACGCGCAGCGCTCCTTTCGTGAGGAGTTCCGGCTGCAGCAGCAGAACGACCTACTCTCCAACTACACCTTCGTCGGTTCGGACGGACGTGGTGGCATCTACCTCGAAAAAAACGTTGTCACGGAGGACGGCGTGGAGGAATCCGTCCGCTTCCGCATCCGCCGGTTCACCTCGGTGCCATCGGGGAAGGCGTTCCGCAAGAAGGTGTACATGGCTTGGTCGGCGTCCGTTGCTAACCCGCGTAACTAGGCTGCCTATCGCTTCACACTGCGCTTCTTGCGCTTAGCCGCCGCTCGCTTCTTGGCCGCCGCCTTGGCCTCGGCTGTGAGAACCCAGCGCTTAGTTTTATGTCCTGTCGATCTGCTCACAGAGGATTTCAGCTTGTATCTTCCTCGAACTGTTCCTGGTTTAACTCCTTTCGTGCTTTTTGGTGCTGGCATGTGTACTATGAAGGTCTGTGTGTGATACATAGAGGTAGGAAAAAAATCAAGCGCCCTCCGTGAGTCAGACCAGTCACCACACCGAAGAGGTCGAAAGTGACTGCTTCCGCGTAAGGAGGGTCGTCCACAGGGCCGTCGGTGGAAAACACTTTCCACTCTTTCCACTCGAGACGTTCGTGTAGGAGAGTCACCCGGCTCGAACCCATCCCGAACATATAACGGGATAGTTAGAAAAAACGAGCCGGGTCAGAGAGCCTCACTAGGACCTGCACTAGGACCTGCACTAGGACCTGCACTAGGACCTGCACTAGGACTTGGACTCTTCTCTGAATTCACATCGCCTCGTACTCACCGACTGCCAACGAGAAGCCGCTCTGCACGACGAGCTGGTGCAGCAGGATGCAGACGGCGTCGGTTGCGTCCTTACAGGCCGGCGGAGGGATGCGAAAGCGCTCGAGCAGCGACTCGCCCTTGCGCGGGAAGGATTTTTTCCAGCTCGATGAATTCACCTCAGACGATCGCCCGGCGCCAGCCTGGTACGCTGCCGCGTGCGCCGCCCCCCGCATGTAGGACGAGGTGTCGGCGCCCGATGCCGTCCCGGCAGCAAACCGATATGGCTCGACGAACACCTCCTTAGCGCCCCTGAGCATCGGCACGAGCATCTCGATAGCGGAGCCGACGCGGATGTCTTGGCGTGACTTGTCGGCCGCGGCTCGAGGCTTGAAGGAGGTCTGCTGCACGCGTGTGATGTCGTTCGACACGACGGTGGCGACGGCGACGCCGTATCGCGAGTCCGTGATGCCCGGGTCGAGCGCCACGAAACGCTGCTGCGCCGGCTGCGTCGGTGGAGGGGGCGCAACCGGTGCCGGCGGTGCCAATGCGGGGTCGGGAGAGGTGGTGCCGCTGGCGTCGATGCCCGCCTGGAGCGCCTCGAGCACGGCGGAGTCGTATTTGAACGTCTCCTTGGCGTTCGACACGCCATAGACGAAGCGAAGCATCTCCGCGCGCAGCTGCTTGTCGACGTCTTTCGCCCACTGTGCCTTGCGCGCGACGGACTGCTTGTTGTGCAGCACGTGTCGGAGCAGATGCGGCCGCGGCACGGTCTCGCCGTCGGCGATCGTCAACGTGAGCGCCTTGTAGAGGATGTCGCGCTGGTAGCACAAGCGCTGCCGGCGGTTGTCGTCCGAGACGTTTTTCGGCTTAGGCTTGCAGCCGCTAAACTCGAGAGGCAGCCATTGGTGTACAAAGCGACCGACGATCTCGCCCAGCGTCCCGTCGGTCGTGAGGAACGAGAACTTGCTGTCGATGATCGCCTGCGTCGTCACTAGCGGTGCCTCGCCGCCTCCTCCTCCGCCGCCACCCTCGCCGCCTCCTCCGCCGCCGCCACCCTCGCCGCCTCCTCCTCCGCCGCCACCCTCGCCGCATCCGCCGCCGCCACCCTCGCCGCCTCCTCCGCCGCCACCCTCGCCGCCTCCGCCTCCCTCGCCACCTCCGCCTCCGCAGCCCTCGCCGCCTCCTCCGCCGCCACCCTCGCCGCCTCCTCCGCCGCCACCCCTCGCCGCCTTCTCCACCCTCGCCCGCTTCGACGACGGCTTGTCGACTGCAGCCTCGCCCGGCCGTAGCTGCGGCAGCTCGCCCGGCCGTAGCTGCGACAGCGAAAAGGTCTGCGCCGCGTCCTCGGAGTCCGACCACTCGCCCCTCGCCTTCAGCTCCCGCACGCAGAGCTCGACGGCCTCTTCGTTGCACGCGTCTGCCGCCCTCTCGGCCTCGCAATCCCTCACCGACGCGTCGAGCTCCCAGGGCGTCAGGTAGAGCCGCGCGCCCGTGCGCAGGCTTTCGGAGAGTGGCGTGGCCATGCCCAGCAGCGCGCGCGCGGCTCTCTCGTCGATTCCTTTCGCTCGAGAGACGATGTCGGAGCGCTCGAGGTCACTCAGCTGGTTGCTCTCCCACGCAGCTTGGATCTTCTCAGCGTCGTCGCCGGAGAGAAGGATCCGGCCTTGCTTGTCGAGCAGCTTCTCCACGCCGCGCAGGCTCGCCTTGAGCAACTTATCGTTGGCGAAACGATGCGAAGCGGGGATGAGAACCGTGTCGCCGAGGCGGATCTCCTGCGTCTCATAGTGGGCGAGCCGCTCATCGATCGTCTTGAGAAAGGAGTGGCCGCCAAAGCTCAGGTCCATGATGCTGCCGACCAACTTGTACGCGTCTGCTGGCGTCGGGGAGTCCTCGGTGATCATCAGCGCCGCGGAGTAGATGCGCGCGCGCGACATGACGACCGCCACCTTCATCAGGTACATGCTCGTCTCGAAGAAGTGCGTGACGCTCTTGAACGAGGAGTCCTTGCCCGCAACCTGGAACGCGCGGAAGGCGTCGCAGTACGGCTTCGACAGCCCCCAGAGGATGAGCTCGGTCATCTCGTCGTCGTGCTCGGTCAACAGCTCCGTGAGCGCGCAGAGAGAGGCGGCCTGCGTGGGGTCGTCGCCGAGGTAGTGCGCAATCAGCTGCGTGGGGCGCCCGTGCATTGTGTAGTAGTTCTGGTCGCGCCGGCCCTCGCGGTTGTGTTCGGCGATACGAGCGCCGTCGGCGTCCGAACAGTCGGGGTTGGCGCTCGTGTGCATCACGTTTAACTGCCGGAGCGCCTTGACGACGCCCCCCTCCACGGACATCCCGAGCTCCCTTGCAGCATCGCGCAGAGGCTCACTGTACAAGGAGTCGACAAACTCCGACGGCTTGTTGACAGCGCTCGCCAAGGCGGGCCAGTCGACCTTGGCCTGCTTGTTGTCCCGCCAGCCGGGGGGGGCGAGGTTGGCGAACTCCTTGCCGTGCTGGTACAGGCGCAGGAGGCCGGTTGCGAAGAGCGGACAGAGCGGTGTGACGCGCGCGGGGATGAGGTTGAGCGGCGCGTGGGACTGGTCGTTCTTGGAGCGGTGGTGCAGAGAGAGGCAGGCCGGCTGCCGACAGTAAGCCGCGTGCTTGAAAAGCGGAGCGGAGTATTGCTCGCCGGATCCGAACGCTGGGCGGAAGGTCGTGTGGCCGTAGTCCTGCGACACCATCAGGAGCTGCGCGCGCGGCCCGACGAGCGCAAAGCAGAGGTACTGCCACTGCTGGATCCACTTGTAGCGAGCGGCGGCCGAGTCTGCGGTGTCGGCCAACTCGAGGCACTCTTCCGCCAAGCGGTGCGCGTCCGAGTACGAGAGGGAGGCGTCGAGGCGGCAGAGCGCACTCTTGTCCTGCGACTCTTTGTGCGCTCGGTCACCCTTCTGTGCGGTCTTGTACATCTTGTTGAAGGCGTCCACACTTGAGAGCCACCCCGCCGGCATGCTGGTGAGGAGCACCTTGCAAAAGACGTGCCGCCAGCCGGAGATGATGCACCGGCAGTGGCTGACGGTCACCCGCGGGGGGCTGTTCTGCAGAACATACCCCCGCGCCGTCCAGATGCCGGTGAGGCGCGAGAGTTCGGCGACGAGCGGCGCCGAGCGCCACTCCTCCCATCCGCAGTTCGCGCCGATGCGCTGCGCCCACTCCTCTACCGTCTCCCCCCGGGCCGGCCCGACCTCCTGCAGCGCGCGGAGGCCCCGTCGGAGCTTGTCGTCGCCCCCCGGGGCCGCGGCGGCGTCGCCGACTCGAGACTCTTCCATGTGAGACGGCGTGTGATACGAGACGGCGGGCAGTGGTGGACCTGCAACACACACATACATGCCCGTGGCCGCTCCCCCGCTCCCTGCCGCCTTCCGCGTCGGCGGCCGGCCCGTGCTCGGCTTTCTCATCCACCGTTACGACCTCTTCGACCTCGGCGAGACCGAGCTCGTCTTTGGCCCGCCCTGCACGAGCAAGCAGCTCGGCGTCCGGCGGCCGTTTGTTGACGCCGTCGAGGCTGCCATGAATGGTCTCTTTGGGGACGTGGTGCCGGCGCTCACCTCGCTCGAGGTGTGCCTCCCGGAGGCGCTGCCCGACGACTTACTCGAGGGCAAGCGGGCTGGTGGACGCAACGCGTTCACCGCCTTCCACACGAGGGGCGTCCGCGTCGTGGTCACCTTCTCGCCCAAGCTCGGCACGCGCGAGCTGACGTGCCTAGGCGAGCCGACGTGGCGGTGTTGGCCGGCGGACTCAGCGCACTGGTACTCGATCGGCCTGCTCCGCCCCTGGTTCAGCGAGTCGCTCCCGCCCGACGAGTGCGAGCGGCGCATCACCGCCCACTTTGAGGCGGGCGCGCACCGCGAGTACCGCGAGCCCAACAAGACGGACCCCAGGCGCTGGCAGCTCGATGACGGCTCGGCGGTTCCGCTCGGCGGCAAGACGCGGCTGCCGGGCTCGGCGTGGCGGATCTGGGGGCTGCGAGGCTACCGGCTGCTCCCGGACGGCGGCGCGCACGGCCGCGACGGCAGCCTCGTGCCCGAGGCCAGCCTGGCGCAGATCGCAAAGGAGGAGCTGCTGCCGTGGCCCGGCGCGGCCCTCGACTGGCGGCCCTCGGAGGCGGACGCGGAGTGCTGGTTCCGCCCCCTCGACGAGGAGACGACGGCGGCGCTCTTGCGGCTGCAAGCGGATCTGCGCGCGCAGCCGGCGCGGCCGCAGGGGCAGCAGGGGCAGCAGGGGCAGCAGGGGCAGCAGGGCGGGGTGCTCGGCGGTCGGAAGACGGACACTCGCGTCCGGCGCGTGGTGTGGCACCTCGCGCCGACGGGCCCCCGCGCGATGGTCGTCGTCGGCCACGCGTCGTGGGGAGGCGGCAATGACAAGAGCGGGCTGCGGCTCAAGGCGCTGCCGACGGCGGGCGAGCTCGCGGGGCCTTGCGCCGCGCTGCCCCCTCTTCCAGAGGCGGAGCAGCTGACTGCAGACGTCATCGCGCCCGTCTCGCACGTCCTCGCCTTCAACGCGCTGCTCGACGTGGCGTGGTGCAAGCCGAGCCCGCCGCCGAGCGGCCTAGCAGCGGGCGCCGAGACCGTCGCTTCGAGCAGCGCAGGCGGCAGCGACCCTCTCGTGCCGGTGGCGTGCGGCGTACCCGTCGGCGAGGGGAGGGCGGTGAGCAACGCGCTCGCCCGCGACGGCCCTCTCCCGCGGTACGCCGCCGCCGTTCCCGCCGACGCGGGGGCGGACACGTTGGAGAGGGCGGCGGCGAGGCAGGCCGAGCGCTTGCAGTTCGCCGAGGAGGGCAGGGCGGAGCAGCTAAAGTACGACGAGGCGTGGCTCGCCGAGCGGGTGCCGAGCGCGGAGGATCTCGCCAGGAGCGCGCAGCGGGCTGCCGGCCCGGCGGGCTCCTCTTGCACGGGCTCCTCTTTCACGGGCGAGCCCTCCGTGTGCCAGTCGCTTGCGCGCCGGCTCGGAGCCCACATCCAGGCGGACCCGTTCGCCAACCCGCTGCTCAACGCGTCGGCCGAGGAGCTCGAGCGCACCGACGCGGCGTGGGGGCGGCTCTGCGACGATGACGCCGTCTGGATGGAGCCGGTAATCTTACGGCTCGTGGAGGCGGCGCCCGAGGGGCGCAAGGCGGGCGTGAGCCAGGAGCTGCGCGGGATGCAGCTCGACCTTGCGCGCACGGAGACTCGGCCCGCCCCGCCGCACCTGCGCCAGCTCGCGCAGGCGATGTACCCGTGCAAGGACGACCTCGCCGCGTGCCGCGCTTGGGACGCGCATTTCCGCAGCGGCGTGCCGTACGGCATGATCGACGTCGTCGGCCGCCTCCTTGCGGCCACTCTTGAGCTGCTCTGCCGGGAGGAGCGCGAAGCGGAGGACGCTGAGCGGCTTGTGGAGCGCGACCCCGCGTTCGTGGCCGCGCAGCGGGGGCGCGGCGGAGAAGCGGCACGAGTCGTGAATAAGCCTGCCGAGACACCGCGGCTAACCGCGGCTAACAAGGTTGCGGAGATGCGCGAGCTAACAGCGGGGTTGCCGGTCCCGGCGCCAGTGGAGGGGGTGGGCGCGCTGGGCAAGCGCAGAGCGGTGCCGTGCGACGTGGGTGCGGGTGCCAAGCGCCAGCGGCCCGGCGCGGGTGAGTCCGCGCGCTCGCTGCCGCCGAGTGAGGTGCCGGGCCGCCGCGCCGAGGTGCTGGAGGGACTACGCCGCGTGCTTCGCTTTGTGGATCAGAGCCCGGAGGAGTTCTGGCTCAAGCACGGGCCAGCCGGGCCGTTCCCCTTCCCTGAGCAGCTGGCTGCATTGAGGGCGGAGCTGGCGGGGCCGTTTCAGGGGGGGGCGCCGTCACACGGGCGCGTGTAGACTGGCCTTGGGAAGGACGTCGCGAGCGGGGACACCGGCACCGGCACCTTTCGTCGGGGCGAGAGCCGAGAGCGTGCCGTGGGCGGGCAACGGCAACTGAACGCTCCCACCCCAAAAGTGTTTAACATACAAAAAAAGCAGATGGTGGGGCCAGGACGGGTCGATTCACACACTTAGACCCTCACAGCTCACAGCTCACACACGGCTCTAGATATTCGTCCTTTTACACGTCTAGCGGACAGACCCGGACACACGTCAGCTCTAGCCATCGGACGCGGGATAGTAGTAGACACAGCAGCAAGAAACTAGCAGGAGTAGAGCAGCAGCGGCGGCGGCGGCGGCGGCGGCGGCGGCGGCGGCACCATGCTGCTGCCGCCGCCCGCCACGGCGGCTGCGGCGGGGTGAGGGCGAGCTGCACTGCTCGGCCGCCTCTCGGGTCGCGGCGGCAGCCGGCGATGGCGGCGTGGCAACCGCAGGCGGAGAGACTCGCGCTCATTCCGCAGCCGGCCCCGGCCCCGCACCGACCAGGGGCGCAGTGCTCGGGCCACTTGCTGCCGCCTGGATGGTGGCCGCTGGATCGTCGCCATCGCGCGAAAGCGTCGCATGCACCTCCGGGAGCGGGCAGACCGAGAGCGGCCCGGTCGAGAGCGGGTTGTCGCAGACGGTGCACTGGAGCGGGGCGCCGGGCGTGGCGACGGAAGAGTCGACGTAGTCCCGGATGCACTCGCGGCAGAAGGCGTGGCCGCACGGGCTCGACGCGACCGGGTCCGTGGCGTCCTCGAAGCAGAGGTTGCAGGTGGGCGTCGCTTGCCCATAGGTGTGGTCGAGCCTCCCCCCCACGGCCGTCCAGGCGGCCACCATGGCAGACGCCATCGTCTTGTACCACATGTCGGCGTGCACGGCCGCCAGCCTCCGGTAGAGCCGCCGCAGGGCACTCTGCGGCTCGTCCATCTGCTCGCTGTCGCACACGTGTGTCACATTGATCTGCTTCGGGCCATGAGGGCCGCGCGCGCAGCGGTGCACGAGCTGCACCGCGTCGTGCAGCGACCACGATGGTGTGCCGACCAGCACAAGGGCGGAGCAGCTGCCAAAAGCGTTGGTGCCGGCCGCGTTCGCGTCGACGGAGGCCACAAAGATGTACCTCGTCTGGGGCGGCGGCTGCGGCGCAGCGATCAGCTGCTCCGCGCGGCGGCGGCCGTCGGGCCCGATGGCATCGACCACGACGACGGTGTGCGGCGTAGCGGGCGCAGCAAGCAGCGAGAGCAGCGTGAGGATCGAGTGGGCGACGTCGAGGAGATGAGTGGCGACGAGGATGTGCCGGTGGCCTCCCCCTGCGGCGTGGTGCACCGCTGCGAGGACGGCGCCCTCCACGGCCGGAGAGAGGCCGCCGCTGCTGCGGAGGAGGCCGCTGTTGCCGAGCATGTCGGACTTGGCGGCCATCGGAGTGTCAACCACGCACACGCTCGCCACGTAGGTCTTTTCCCACGGATGCTCCATGGGCACGGTGTTCGCGAGCAGCTCCTGCATCAGCGGGGACGCCGAAGCCACATCGCCCGCGGCGCTGTCGAAGCACGGGACGGCGCTCACTGCGACGATGCTCTTCGCGGCCTCGAGGCACTGCTGCTGCGCGCGCCGGTCGTGCACAGCTCGGCCGTACGCCGTGCGCATCAACAGCGCCGCCTCGTCGATGACGACGTGCAAGTTGCCGCAGCCGTCGGCGGCGGCTGCGACGAGCTCGGCGCTGCCGAAAAAGTCGCAGTGCCGCATGAGGACCACGCTCGTCATCCCTCCGTTGCGGCGGAGCGTGGCGGAGACGGCTGCTGCGATGCGCTTGCGCTGCGACTCGTCGCTGGAGTCGAGGGCGCGCTCGCCGAGCACGCACACGCACACGTCCATGCGACGCAAGGGTTCGGCCAAGTCCGCGAGCGACGTGGGGGGCGCTAGCACGAGCACGGCCGGAGGCTCACCCTCGGCGCTCACCCCCGCCGCGAGGCGTCCGCGGCACCACTCCAACATCACCTTCGTCTTGCCGGCGCCGCACGGGGCAACGAGGAGCCTGGTGGCGCTCCCGCTCTCTGCTGCGCCCAGCGCCGCGACCGCGTTGATCTGGTGCTCCATCAGGCTGCCGTCGGGATCGAGACGCAGCGCGCCGCAGCCGGCGAGAGCGGCCGGGGCCGCCCGGCGGAGGAGCTCGAGGGAACGCAGCGTGCGTTCGACGGGCGCCTCCGGCGTGCTCGGGCGAGCGGCCGCAAAGTCTGCAAACTCGGGGCACAGGCTCGACCCGGCGTGCGTCGCGCCGTCCGCCACTGTGACGCTGACGCGGGCATCACGCAGCGGCGCGCAGGGCGGCACCGCAATGCCGACGGGGGGGTCCGCCGCAGCTGCGCGCATGGCCGATGCCATGGCCGAGCAAAACTCAGGCTGCACGGCGTTGGCGCCACCACAGGCGAAGGCGGTGGCAAAGGCGGAGGCGTGCTGGTCGCGCGTGACCTCGCAGCCGGGCGGCGCGTAGACGTGGTAGCCGGCGGGCGAGCGCACCACGGTGGTGAGATTGTGCTGCGCAGCGGCGGCGCGCATCACCGCGTCGCACGACGGGCAGACGGGGTACTTGACAACAACGAAGGCGTGGGTCGCGGCCTCCGAGACCGCGCGCACGACAACGCGCACCTCGGTGTGTTGCGCGAGTCGCGAGTGCGGGAGGAAGCCGCAGATGCGGCCTGGGCGGGGGCAGCACTTGCACCTCTCCGGCCGCGGCGCCGCCCCCGAAAAGCCAGCCGCCTGCGCCAGCTGTAGGTGCAGCTGGCCGCTCGCCTCGCCGTTCTCGTCGGGCCGCGGCGTCGGGATGGTGATCGGCTGTCCGCACGGCGTGCAGGTCAGATCGCGTGGCAGAAACCAAACTTCTGTTGTGATGCCAGACGCCACTGCACACACACGTTGCTGGTAAGATCCGCCGCCGGTGAGCACATACGCGGCGGCGCACGCACCGCCGCCGTCGCTCGCGTCGGCCCACGTCGAGCGCTCCTGCGGCGACTCGGCTTGTCGCTGCTGCTGCTGCTGCCGCCGCTGCGGCTCCGCCTGCGACAGCGGAGGGTGCAGCTCAACCTCACGGCCGGATCTCGGCCCAATCTCGGGTAAATCAGGAGATACAGCCGAGAGACAGCCGAGAGACAGCGGAGAGACAGCGGAGAGACAGCCGAGAGACAGCCGAGAGACAGCGGAGAGACAGCCGAGAGAGACAGCCGAGAGAGACAGCCGAGAGAGACAGCCGAGAGAGACAGAGAGAGAGACAGCCGAGATATAGCCCCATTCTCTCCTCGGCTCCGCTAAACCACAGCTGTATCTCGTCTTAGGGCCTACCTCCGCCGGCTGCGCCTCCTCGATGGCGGCGGAGGCGGCGCCAGCCTCGGCGCCAGCAGCAGTGGAGGGCGCCGGTGGCGGCCCCTCCCCCTCCGCTTCCGCCGCCGCCGCCGCCGCCTGCTCCGCCGCGCCCTCCGCAGCCGCCGCCGCCGCCGCCGCCGCCGCCGCCTGCTCCGTCGACGCCGCCGCCTCTGCGGCCGCCTCCGGCTCTGCGGCCGCCTCCGCCTCTGCGGCCGCCTCCACCTCCGCAAACGCCGCCGCCGCCGCCGCCGCCTCCTCCTCCGCCTCTGTCACGAGCGGTGTACGCGCTGGGGCACGCGCCAGGAGGGGTGGAGGGTTGATCCCCGCCAGCACACGCTCGCACTCCGACCCCACCCTCTGCCGGGCCTCGAGCAGGATCTCGGTGCTGTCGCAGGGGCGCGCCCGATCCAAGCCGAGCGGCTCGAACGACCACGACACGCCAGAACCGACCCGACTCGACTTGAACCACGGCGCACGCCGACTCGCATCCGCTGGCTGCGTCGCCTCGTCGCCCTGGTACGCGCGGTTGTTGCACAACAGTGTGCCAAGGCGCGAGGACGGCTCCGCGCTGTCGAGCAGCTCGCGCAAGCTCGTGACCAGCGACTTCAGCTCCTCGCCCGCCTGCTGCACGAACTGCTGCAAGCATCCGAGGAGCTGCTCCTTGCTCAGCGGGCCGTGGCGGGCAAGGACTAGCGCGGCGACGTCACGGGTGCGACAAGTGAACCTTGCCGCTTGGGCTAGCCCGCTCGCCGGCGCCGCCGCCACAGCTGGCGCCGCCTGCTCCGCCCCGCCCGCCGCCGCCGCCGCCGCCGCCGCCGCCGCCGCCGCCGCCTGCTCCACCGGCGCCGCCGCCGCTGCAGCCTCCGCCGCCGCCTCGACCGCCCGCGCGTACGCCACCGCCGCCTCCACCGCGGTGTCGAAGGGGTTGCCGATTTGTTTGCTCCTCCCGCCCACGGTGTGCCTCGCCGAGAAGCGACCTGAGGGCAGCTCGCACACGCCCTTGTACCTGGTGGCGGTGCGGCTGGAGAGGTGCAGCCGCAAGCCCTCCGCCTCTGTTGCCACCGCTGCCGCTTGGCGCTCAGCCGGCGCCTCGGCGACTGCAGCCTCGCCGCCAGCGCCGCCTGGCTCGCCCTCGCCCGAGTCCGCCGTCCCGCCCACCGCCGACGTCTCGCCCACCGCCGCTGCCGACGGCCCTGCCTCTCCTGCCGCCGCCGCCTCGCCGACCGCCCACGCGTATGCCACCGCCGCCTCCACCGCGGTGTCGAAGAAGCCGAGGGAGACGCCCCGCCTGCGCGCCCAGAAGCGGCCTGAGAGCTGCTTGAACACGCCCTTGTAACCGGTGGCGTTGCTGCTCGAGAGAAGCAAGCGCAAACCCTCCGCCTACACAGAACGTCGCAGCAGTAGTGACCGATGGCGCGGCGGATCTGCGTGTGCGCCGCACTGCGCGCACATCTCGGTCCTCGCCGACGCCGCACGCAAAGTCGCTGTAGAAGTTTGCTAGTGGGCCGATGGATGCGGCACCCGCGCCCAGGAGCTTGTCGGCGTAGTAGTCGAGCGCCTCGCCCACCTCGGCCACACGCGCTGCAATTTCGCCGGCGCGCCACGCCACGCCAGGCTCCCGCGCTCCGCGCTCCGCCTTTGGGCACAGGATGCGAATGATTCTCTCCCCCCCCCCCCCCCCCGTTCCTTTGGTCGCTTGCCCAGTGACCCGGGGGGCGCAAAGGACCGCCGACTCTTGGAATGGGAAAGGGGATCTCAAGATTGCATCCGCGGTTCGCGAGAAAAACCCTCCCCCCCCCTTGCACTCTAGCAAAAATTCTTGCCCGATAAAAAGAACCATTGTGCCCCTTTATCTTCGCACTTATCTCTTAATCTTTGTAAATC